CATACACACACACTCAACACACGCACACACACATACACACACACTCAACACACACACACACACTCAACACACGCACACACACATTTCAACACACACATCTCAGATTTGGGCGGGGCATGGTGGTAAGTCCTTATCCATCAGTCAGGTGCATCCTGGGCAGACTGTCTGTCCAGGTTCAACCTCCTGATGGGCCGGTACAAGTCCAACGAAACAGTCTGTGCACAGTCACACTTTCTTTGTGGAGTCGTGTAAGGTGGCCATAACAAAACACATCCCGCTGTTAATGAACGGATCATGATCCATGCATGAATAAGATCAACAATATACTGTCGGGGGCGGGGCTGGCTACCCCCTTTCAGAAATGGTGCACAGAAACTCTAATACCAACAACAATATGTACTTACACGGTTACACCTAGGCTGAGTAACATATTCAACGCGGCCCGAGGAACTAAATGGTCGTTGAACCCCGTTGAGCCTGCGGTGAGCCACGTTGAATACTCCCGTTGAATGCAAAACGGGGGTCTTCCTGGCGGTTTCAAAAGAACTGGATAGGTCCCCAGGCCATCGGACACGTGGGCGGCCAAGCCCGTGCACTTGGAACACTTTTTTTTATTTTTTTGCCTAACCCTGCTACAGAAACATTAAACTTGGCCGCACGACCCCGTGCCCCGTCCGCCCCGACAGTGCCCTCTGCCACCCGACAGCCAAAACAGCCCTTACCACCCATGTGAAACACACCACCAACCACCGCCCCCACATCATGCACGTGGTGATGACGTTTCCACGTGGCGCGCGGTGGAAGAGGTGTTGTGCTTTTCCCGCAGGGCAAAAGGCTCCCACCTCTCTCTCTCTCTCTCTCTCTCTCTCTCTCTCTCTCTCTCTCTCTCTCTCTCTCTCTCTCTCTCTCTCTCTCTCTGTCTCTCTCTCCTGCTGCGACGTACAATGAGTTTCCCTGCACTCGAAGTGAGGGATGTGGTGGCAATGGCCACCTCTTATCCCTCGGCCCCTACCTAACTCCCGACAGCATGATCCCCTACCTAAGCTACCTGCCAGAAAATAAAACAAAAAAATTTGGTCCCCGACGTTCCCCCCCCCCCCCCAAGAAGGTACTAGGCGGGCCTGCCCAAGCACCCCCACCACACCCTCACTGCGCTAGACACCCCGTGACTGCCCCCAAAACACCCGTTTTGGCCTTTCCTGGGTCGTGATGAAAGCCATCGAAACGGCTTAAAACGGGGGGTTCAACGCGGTTTCAGTGTGCGTTGAAATTTCAACGTGCAGGCCACGTTGAATTAGTTTCCAGCCACTCAGCACCCAGCGTTAAGTCAGAAGGATAGTGGATGGCCATATTGCCGCCAAGAACATATATGCGCCACACATCGTCATATTCTGAACCCTTTTTCAGTCTCTGTAAGTCTGCAAAAGCTACCAGACTCTGCAATACTGCAGGCGAAGTCAGACTCTGGAATTGTGCACAAGGTGGAAGACATTGTTAACCCCGAAAAGCGGCAGGGAACCCTGTACCGTTGTTGCAAGCTCACAAAACCCAGAAGACAAGATGCCTGGCACACACACAGAGAGAGAGAGAG